TTACTTTTTATCTCGTTCTAGTTCTTAGAATTATAATTCTAGAAATTCTACTTTTTAGTTCTGTTTTTCTCCCGCCATTCTCGACACTATACATCGCTTAATTCGTTCCTTTTTGTCCTTCACGCACGCGCACTAACGAGAATTAATTATGATAGAGGCGGGAAATAGCGAGCATTTTATAATGGCGCGTTCTACAATTACACGCAATTTACATGAGAGGACACGAAGATATTAATATCCAAGAGATGAACAAAGAACTCAGGATGTATCAAAAAGCAAGGAAAACAAATACTCGGTCGACGTACACCTTAATACTTTCATATTAGAACGTGTCTCAGACAAATCGCACGCCTTTCCCAGACACGCTTTCGTCGAGGAAGTTAAATTTCTGACGCGAGAAAGGAAAAACTACAAATTCTTCTGACTTTTGCAGTAAAGCGTATATAGTTGCATCTCTCGCGTTAAGGGTCGATTTCATCGTCTCCGATTAACTTGATCCCCTGATTAAACTCACTCTTCGTATCTCTTTCTAATGTTTGTTTCTGTCAATGTAGATTAACTTTAATCTCGGTTTGACTTACGTTTCATCTCTTTCTAATTCTTAGAACTAAAGAGAGATAAAAAGTAAATTAAACCAAGATTAAAGTTAATTTACATTGATAGAAGTAAACATGAGGGAGACAGAAAGAGATGAAGAGTGAGTTTAATCGGAGGATCAAGTTAATCAGAGACTGCGAAATAATAAGACGTAATAAAATATTTGCATGCAGCGTCATAAATCGTCTGGATAGTCCCACAGCGTTTAATACCATGCATAAGCGGTTCCTGGAGATTCTAAGAACGAACACTGAATGATTATTTCAATTATTGACTTCTCCTGTTGTTTTTCAATGTTTAATGACAGTCAGCTTTCTAATATAAAGATTATTACAACAATTGATTACAATTTACATGCAGCTCTCGCACTAGAAATTGCATTGTGTGTTATTATTGAATTGTACGTTCATTTTTAATCCATTAATGTCTCATACTTGTACATAATTAAATAGTAATAATTTCATCCTATATGGTTTTCGCATTTCAGATAATACATATATAATATCACATATCACAAACTTTCCATGATAAAACATGTAATGCAGCATCATATATATTGTGTTGTAGAGATATTCCACCATGGCAAAGTCAGTTAGGACTGCACAGGAATGGAAAGAAAAGGGTAATGAACAGTTTAACAAAGGCAATTGGTCAGAAGCCTTGATTCACTACACAAATGCACTTAAACTAGTAAAAGACAACACTGAGAAAGGAATATACTACAAAAATCGAGCTGCCGCATATTTAAAGTTGCACTATTACGAGAAAGTGATACAAGACTGCAACAGTGCGTTAAAGATATGTTGTAATAAAGCATTGTATCGCAGATGTCAAGCACTAGAAGCGCTAGACAGATTCGAGGAGGCATATCGGGATGCGGAAATTGTTATTTCATCTGATCCCAATAACAAAGTTATTCAGCTCGAAGCGACGCGCTTACTTGAACTTGTACAAGAACGTCGTAAGGAAAATGCAAGTATTAGTGTCAAGATAAATATAACTACTATATAAAAATGCACAACTTGCTAGAGATGATAATTTGTACGTAGATATTGTACGTAAATAATGTAAAAATTGTAATACATTTTTTTATACTGGATATATTAATAAGCTTTTTTGTTTGACTCAATATCACATAAAATTTGGTAAATGGATTTAAGTTTTGCTTTTTTTTTATTACGTAATTATTAATTATTGTTTGATAGTCTGCACATCCTGTATGGATAAGAATCAAGTCACACAAATATAATCTTTTACAGTTAGTACATATTTTTATTCTATATCATATTCAAGTATACGCTTAATTTTGCTTTACATTAGGTATCACAAATGATGGATTTAACATTTAACATGAGCGCAGATAAAGAGAAACGTAAAACCGCTATAATTAATCTGCTTGAGTTCGCACGTAACGAAGCTGATGCCGAGGAGATTTTCAAAAAAGAAGGTGTATCCAAAATTGCACAACTTGTGGTAGTTGAAAGAAACGAGGAAATGATCTGTAGCGCTATTCGTATTGTAGGCGAGTTATGCCAAAACAATATTAGTCGAACTGAATCCATTGTGGAACATGTCGGGTTGCTTTGGTGTTTGGAAATGATGAACAGCACATCTACAGAGAGAGTCAACGCGTCTCAATATTGTTTACAGGTAAGTATCGAGTAAATTACGTGTAGTTATTATACGCGTATTTCAGTAATTAAAATTTTATTGCATATTTCGATTTCAGAATATATTGAACAGTTATAGCGGCATGAGTAAAGAACCTGATTCAAAACCCGACGAGGCGTTGTGCAAAACGTATAAAAAAGAAATTGACACGATTCTGTCGTGTTTGCTGAATAGTGTAACGAGTAGAACGATAACGGGCCTGGCTAGAGACGCAATAATACAACTTATTATGCGTAACATTCATTGCGGAACTGCATTAAATTGGGCGAAACGATTTTTCGAACTTTGCGGTTTGCAAAAATTGATGGAGGTAGCCGGTGAAATGGAGGAATACAAATGTGAATCTCCGATGGACATTACGTTTTCCACCCGAGCTATAATCAGTGTGTGTTTAGCAAAGATATATGAAAACATGTACTATGATACTAAAGAAAAATTTAGCAACACTATTAATGAATTTATTAAAGATAAATTGCTGTCGCCTAATACAGAATCCAAGGTATTTTCTTCCAAGATATTTTTTGATTATTTAAATTATTTAAAACTAGAGGGTCGTTTTTTTAATTATAACGTTTTTGAGCAATTTAAATTGTGCTTTAAAGCAAAAACGTCAAAATATACTTTTATTTAATTATAAGTATTGTATATTCTGCTTTATATTAAAATGCGATTGTAACAGAGTTTAATCGAAATTTATTGGAGAATGTGACTTTTTTATTAATTTTTTCTGAAGCCTAATTAATTTTCTCTAACCAGATATTTCTTCTATTTTTAATCAAAATCAAATGAAACTAACTACATATTAATATTTTTGTAATTAATTATTGATTCAAAAAACAGTTCGTAAATTAATCAATTGCTTTACAGGTGCGTGCAGTAATAGCGATAACAACCTTAATATTCGGCCCGATAGAAATTGCAGATGCAATTATCTTTAAAGAAGGGGTGGTTGAGATGATCCTCGCTATGGCGGAAACGGATGATGTATTAGAACAGAAAGTGGTTTGCGAATGTATCGTTGCGGCTGTGACCAAATATAATGAGACCAACGTGTTTATATGTCGAGGTGTAAAAATATTGGAGAAACTGTATCAATCTAAGGATGATTCTGTTCGGGTTCGAGCGTTAGTTGGTTTGTGCAAATTGAGCAGATTCGAAGATACACGCTGTTACGTGGCTATCGATCCGTTCGCAAATAGAGCGACGAAGACGTTGGCCAAAGTTTGCAGACGATTCCTGATTAATCCCAAGAAAGAAAAAGATATAAGAAAATGGGCCATTAAAGGCCTGTCGTATCTCACTTGCGACGACAAAGTCAAAGAGGAGTTTATCGAGGACCAAGAAGCGATTCAGGCGATGATCGAGCTTACCAAGGCTGACGATCAATCAATTCTTCACGACGTGCTTATGACGTTGGTGAACTTGTGCAACGCTTATGAAGTGCAAGAACTACCCGAGATGATAGAACTAAGAGAGTTTGCCGGTCAGCATTTTCCTGAGAAATACGTTCTCGCCTATGACTACTGCGTGAAACGTAACTGCACGTTAGCGAAGGCCGGTGTGACCACCGCTCTGGTGAATCTTACCAAAACGAACAGCCAGAACTGCAAGGAACTGATAGCCCGTGTATTCTTCGTGATATGCGATGAACAGGAGTCAAAAGAAATAGTTATTCGACAAGGCGGCACGAAGGCATTGTTGTCGTTAGCGCTAGATGGCACAGACAGGGGAAAGAATTATGCTACGCTGGCTCTGGTCTATCTGGGACGTACGAAACTTCTTGAGGTTGCATTTCCCGGTCAGATAATGATGGAGGTTGTTGGGCCGATCATAAATCTCCTGAACCCAGAGTGCTCCGTTCTTGAGAATCGCATGATTTTAGGAGTTTTGTGTGACCTTGCCAAAGTCAGTGACAACATGCGAGAACATATATTTAAGGAAGGGGTATTTCAGAAGATCGAGACCTTTGTGTATGAGCAGGACTATTTTTTTAAATTTTTGTCCCTTTTACTTATAAACATTTTAGTATCAAGCCATGAAGTCGCTGTCCAGTATTTCAGGCAGGACAATTCTCGTGTGAAGTATCTTATGTTATTGTGCAAGGACGAGAATCAACAATTTAGCTGGTTAGCAGCTTCAATTCTAGTAATGCTGACGGCGGCCAACAAAGAAGCTTGCAAGAAAGTTTTCGACTCGGAATCTTGGCTGCAATCTCTACGCTTTTTAGTCACTAATCCAAACTGTGACATACAAAAAAGTGGTATTATAATTGTGCTAAATATGATGAGAAGCACGATAGGCGTTGCTACAAAACTCATGGAAACAGACTTAATTGAACTACTGAGGTCATTGAGCAAGAATGATAACGTGGAAAACAAGATCAAGGCTCTAGCATTTTTCGCTTTAGGGAATGTTGCGGAACGATCTAGTCAAGAAGAATTTCGAGAAGCATTCATCAACATGGTAAGATATGAATGTAATATAGCACGTCGATCAGGACAGTTAGAAACTGTTTGCAATTATGAGTTATGAATATATGAACATGAATGTGTGTTCAAAACAAAATCGTACTTAAAAATGCAAACTAGACGATTATTTCTTGGAAAAATGATAGAAAATATTAATTGAGACCTATTATATGTTATTACTTATATTTCAAATAAAGTGCTTCAAATGATAAAATAAATGTTGCATTTAAATTTTTGCAATTTTGTCTGAAACGTATTCATGCTATCATATAATTATGTTCGTGTATTATTTATATATATCTTTAAATATATAATTGCTGTGCAGGATACATACAGTTTATTTGTTACATAAATTTGCCACAGATCGATAATAATATATCCACACAGCAATATAACATATATCTTAGATATAGAACATTAAGTATTACGAAGTATGAAGTATCTATAGTTATGTCTCAAGTAACTTACAAGTTACCTACATGTAGCACTCAACGTCAGCAACAAAAGTACTTCTGTGATATACGTCTCTGATATGTATCACTATATACTATAAGTGCCTGTGATACATAACAATGTAACATATGTGTATCGGATATAGAACATTAAATGACACATACATTTTAAATGCGTAACAAGTGACGTATTTATACTCAGTCGGGAATATTAACGCTCATTTGAGTGTTAACACTCAATATTTCAGTGGTTTTTTTTTTTTGTAAGGGTTGCATATAATTATTTAGTAATAATTGTATCTTTTTGTATTTAAGATAATAGATAATCAAGACACTGTATAAAATATCACATCCTTTCCATGATAAAACGTATAATGCAGTATCATATATATTGTGTTGTAGAATTATTCCACCGTAGCAAAGTCAGTTATGACTGCACATGAATGGAAAGAGAAGGGTAATGAAGAGTTTAACAAAGCCAATTGGTCAAAAGCCTTAAGTCACTATACAAACGCACTGGAACTAAAAGAAGACAACGCTGAGAAAGGATTGTACTACAAAAATCGAGCTGCCACTTATTTAAAGCTACGCGATTACAAGAAAGTGGTTGAAGACTGCGACAATGCATTAAAGATATGTTGTAACAAAGCATTGTATCGCAGATTTCAAGCATTAAAAGCGCTAAACAGATTCGAGGAGGCATGCCGGGATGCGGAAATTATTATTTCATCTGATTCCAATAATAAAGTTATTCAATCCGTAGCCACGCGCTTACTTGAAATTGTACAAGAACGTCGTAAGGAAAGTTCATATATTAGTGACAAGGTACATATAACTCGTACAAAAATGCATTAACTCGCAAGAGATGACAAATTGGTCATATTAAGACCCCACGCACCAATGACTTTGATCTTGACATATGTTGTCAAGGTCATGACCCTGAGTAACCTTGATCCTGAAAGAAGTGGCGGTCACAATCCGTTCAAAAGTTACGAAGCATTAAACAGTTTTCGCTTTGTAAAAATTATTCAATAATAGCACATGCGTGCACACACACACACACACACACACACACACACACACACACACACACACATACCAAAGAGGGGGGGGTGCGGGGTGCCTTCGGCGTGGACTTTCCGCGCGTGAAAACTTGTAAACCGATGTGGCACCTCTTTTCGCGTGGAAAGTGTATGTGTGGAGGCAGTAGGTTCCGCCCCCCTGTGGTCACATGGTTCGTGGCGTGCTTTACGAACTCGTTTATTGTATATCGCTACAAATATTCACACAGATGATGGACTAACTTATCTTGTTTAATACCACCTCTACTTAAACGAGCTCGTAAAGGACGTCACGAACCCATGTGACAACTCGTTTCGCGTGGAAAGTATATGCGTGGACCGTGGAGGTAGTAGGTTCCGCCCCCCCACACTATCATTAAACTAGACACAAGTGTGCCTTCAAAGTACATGCGTTGGCTTTCTACTTTTTTAAAATTTTCATTTACTGCTTTAAAAGACTTTCCTTTGTTCGTACATATATTATTTCCACATATATATTAGTCATTTACAAGATAGTTTAGTCGATCATCTGTGTGAATATTTGTGGCGATATACAACTAATTTTGCAAAGCGAAAACTTTAATACTTTGTAACTTTTGAACGGATCGTGACCGCCACTTTTTTCAAGGTAAAGGTTACTCAGGGTCATGACCTTGACAACATATGTCAAGGTCAAGGTCATTGGCGAACGAGGTCTTAATATGCATAATTAACTTGTTTTGTATTAGGTAGCACAAATGCTAAATTCAGCATTTAACGTGAGCGCGGATAAGGAGAAACGTGAAACCGCTATGCATAATTTGCTTGTGCTTGCACGTGAAAGAGCTGGTGCTGAGGAGATTTTAAAAAAAGGAGCTGTATTCAAAATCGCACAACTTGTGGAAGTTGAAAAAAACGAGGAAGTGGTCTGTAGCGCTATTCGTATTGTATCTGAGTTATGCCAAAACAATATTAGTCGAACCGAGTCCGTTGTGAAATATGTCTGTTTACCTTGGTGTCTGGAAATGATGAACAGCACATCTACAGAGAGAGTCAACGCGTCTCAATATTGTTTGCAGGTAAACAACGAGTAAATTACGTGTAGTTATTATACACATATTTCAGTAATTAAAAATTTATTGCAGATTTCGGTTTCAGAATATATTGAACGCTTACAGCGGCATGAGTAAAGAACCCGATTCAAAACCTGACAAGGCGTTGTGCGAAGCGCATAAAAAAGAAATTGACACGATTCTGTCGTACTTATTGAATAATGTAACGAGTAAAACGATAACGGGTCTTACTAGAGACGCAATAATACAACTTATTATGCGTAACACTCATTGCGTAACTGCATTAAACTGGGCGGAACGATTTGTCGAACTTCGCGGTTTGCAAAAATTGATGGAAGTAGCCAGTGAAATAGAGGAGTATAAATATGAATCTTCGATGGACATCACGTTTTCCACTCGAGCTATAATCAGTGTGTGTTTAGCAAAAATATATGAAAACGTGTACTACGATGCTGCTAAGAAAAAATTTAGCAGTACCATTAATGAATTTATTAAAGATAAATTGCTTTCGCCTAATACAGAATCCAAGGTATTTTCTCTCGAAATTTTTTTTATTATTTAAATTATTTACAATTAAAGGATTGTTTATTTATTTATAGCATTTTTGAATAGTTTAAATTCTACTTTTTAAAGCAAAAATATACTTCTTTTTCAATTATCAGTATTGTATATTCTGTTTTACATTAAAATACGATTGTAAAATATGAGAGTTTAATATAAATTTATTAAAGAATATGACTTTCATTTATGTATTTTCTGAAGCTTAATTTTTGTTATTTTCTCCAACCAGAGATTTTTCTTATTTTTAATCAAAATTAAATAAAAGTAACTATTAATATTTTTAAATTTATTATTGTTTTTATAAAATATATAAATTCATAAATAGTTAATCGATTGTTTTGCAGGTGCGTGTAGTAGTTGCGATAACAACCTTAATATTCGGCCCGTTAGATGTTGTGGACGCAATTATCTGTAAAAATGAAGTTGTTGAGATGATCCTTGCTATGGCGGAAACGGGTGACTTATTGCAACAGAAAGTGGTTTGCGAATGTATTGTTGCCGCTATAACCAAATATAATGAGGTCAACGTATTCATATGGCGAAGCCGAAATATATTGCTGTACCTGTATAATTCTAAGCATGATTCAATTCGGATTCGAGCATTAGTGGGTTTGTGCAAGTTGATCAGGTTTAAAGACCGATTGTATTCTGCGATTATCAGACTGCGACTATCCCGGGATAGAGCGACGAATAAATTGGCCAAGATTTGCAGACGATTTCTGATCAATCCCGAAAAAGAAGAAGATATGAGAAAATGGGCTATTAAAGGCTTGTCGTACCTCACTTACGACGAAAACATTAAAGACGAGTTGATCGAGGACCAACAAGCCATTCAAGCGATAATCGGGTTTACCAAAACTGACGATCAATCAGTTCTCTATGCCGTGCTTACGACGTTGGTGAACCTTTGCAACGCTTATGTCGAGCAAGAACATATACCCGAGATGATAGAATGGGAAACGTTTATCGAACATCATTTCGAGGGATACGATTCGGTCGACGAATACGCAGTGAAAAGAAGACTGAACGTGTTAGCGAACGCCGGTATGATCAGCGCTCTGATGAGCCTCGCCAATACGGATAATCAGAACTACAGGGAATTGATATCACGCGTTTTCAACCCGATGTGCGGTTATAAGAAAGTGAGCGAAATAGTTATTCGACAAGGTTTCACAAAGGTATTGTTGTCGTTAGCGTTGGATGGCACAGACAAGGGAAAGAACCAAGCTTTGCAAGCTCTGGTTCGTTTGGGCCTTACATCGACAATACGTCCTAAGGTTGGGACGTATGCATTTCCTGGTCAGATGATCATGGAGATTGTTCGGCCAATCATGAATTTTTTGAAGCCAGAGTGTTCCTTTTGGGAGAATTATGCAACTCTGTTAGTTTTGTGCGACCTTGCTACAGTCAACGACAACATACGAGAACATATATTTAAGGAGGGAGTATTTCAGAAGATCGAGGCCTTTTTGTATGAGGAGGACCACCGTTTGAGATGTGCGTCTACAACACTTATAAACATTTTAGTATCAAGCCGTGAAATCGCTGTTCAGTATTTCAGGCAGGACAATTCTCGAGTGAAATATCTTACGTTATTGTGCAAGGACAAAAATGAAAATATTAGCAGATCAGCAGCTTCAGCTCTAGCGTCGCTGACGTCATCCACCAAAGAGGCTTGCAAGAAAGTTTTCGACTCGGATTTCTGGCTAGAATCTCTACGTTTTTTACTCATTAATCCAAACTGTAACATACAAGAAAGCGGTATTGTAATTGTGACAAATATGATGGAAAGCACAAAAGACGTCGCTGCAAAACTCATGGAAACAGACTTAATGGAACTACTGAGGGCATTGAGCAAAGATGATACTGTGCAAAACAAGAGGATCAAGAGATTGGCATTCATTGCTTTAGAGGATGCTGCGGATCGATCTAATCAAGAAGAACGTCGAGAAGCACTCCTCAATATGATAAGATTGGATTGTGATAAAGCACGTCGATCAGGACAATTAGATGTTCTAAAGTTTTTGCAATCAGAGTTATGGGTATATGAACATACTGAATATGTATCCGAAAACATACACTCAGAATTCGCAGGAATACAAACTAGACGACGATTACTTTGTGAAAAAAAGACAAAAAATTGAAATCTCATTATGTATTCCTTATATTTCAAATAAATTGCTTTAAGTGATAAAATAAATGTTGCGTTTAAATTTTTACAATTTCATATAGTTACATTCGTGTTTATATATGTTTATAAATTAATAGGTATATGATTACTGTTCAGAACACATACAGTTTATATGTTACATAAATTGCCAAAGTGCAATATTAATATCTTTTATGGAATAAAATATGTGGAGATGTATAAAATATTTTATGGAATTAGCTATAAATATATCTATTATTGTGTCATGAAATAATATGTAATTGGAATGAAAAGTCATTAAATTATTGTGTATTTGTATGAGAATAGTATATTTAAATAATATTACATATTTAATTACAGATATAATAACCCAAGAATAGAAAGTCAAAATAATGAAATTCAATTTGATGTTATAACTAAATTTACGTCATTTTTTGGTCAATATAACGTCAAATTGACATCATTTTGACTTTCCTGTTTTCCTTGCGATATAGTTATGCTATATAACACGAGTCATTCATTTAACAACCACAAACACATTTAAGTCTTTTTATAAAAATCAAATTAAGAAATCTGAAAAACAGCGAATTTTAAATAATAAATTTATTTGAATAATGAATCGTGTGAAATATCGTAAGAGACGATAATACGTCAGATCATTATTTTTTATTACTTCTTTAGTTTTAGTAAACATGCATTATATTAATAAATCTCGAAATTATGTATTACCTATATGTTCTGCTAAGATAATTTCTTTTTTTTTTTAATTATTATTTTTTAGAAAATATAGGAAAATCCTTAATTTTCTACAATTTATTTAAATAATTTGGAAGTTTCCCAGTCAGAAAT